GCGGTCGTCCGATTTTGTTGATCACTCGTATGATTACAGACCGAATTGGACTCCACTCAGTCCTATTACCATTATTAATAAATTATGCAATACACTTGACATACATTTATGAAAACTAAACCTGAAGAATTTAATTGATGATAGATTAAGAAAAAACACCACTGTTTTATCTTAATTTAAAAGTTCATCTTTATATAATGTTTTGCACATAGGATTTAATTGTGTTTTTTGTACTTTACAGCAATGGTGCAATTCTAGTTTATGATATAACAGATGAAGACTCCTTTTTCAAGGTAACTCATGTTACAGTGTATTTGATAGTTACAATAAAAGTTACAATCATGTACACATGCAATCCTACTTTAAAACCAAGATCATTTTGTAAATTAGAATGTAATACAAACTGTTTCTTCTAGTGCAAATGTATAGCTATAAATTTGATTTTAAAACTCACATGTATCTCCTGACAATGTTTCATGTACAATAAAAAGCACCATCTAGAGCAAAGCATCTATAACACAGATAGTGACCTACCTGGAGGAGAACTGAAGGCTAGAATTCCTATTTTATTTGATCACCTGAAATAAAGAATTACAAAGAGTTATAGAAAACAGCAAGAAAACAGATTTTTGTCGTCACAAAATTGAAGAAGACAGTCAAAAACTGTGATCATGTTTCAAAATTGAACAGCCACCATTTGAACATTCTCCTCCCAGTTACTTCCATAAAAGGAAAGCCAGCCACCATATTATGATTGGTTATTTTCTGACACTCCTTTTATCGAGGTAACTGGAAGAAGAAAAGTTGAAAATGGCTGCCGGAAATGACATTTTAGCAGTTTTCATCAATTTTGGCAGGAAACATTATCTTTTTCTTCCTGTTTTCTACAAAATAAATCTTACTAATTTCCATAATTTTTAGTAGCCTTTCTACATCTCCCCCCTCCCCTAAGGGGACAGATGTACACACGCTATAATTTTCAGCAGTTACATGAAATATGGTTTCCAGAATTCCATTCGCCTCTAAGCAAAATGTCTCCAGCTCAGGAAGTGTAGCTGAGGACATCAAAATCAGGGTACTCACCATAGGCTTGTGATAAATCTTATAGTCAGAGTGATTTTCAAGTGAGTGTCATAAAACCAAAACCAAACCAATTATGTACCAATTAAGGCTGGTTTCCACTAGTGCATATGCATAAGCCGACATTCGCAGAAGCAGTAGAGTGCTGATAATTAGTGGCTTTTGTTGGAAATGTCCCAAACAAAAGGTGCTAATTATCAACATCTTACCCTGTCTGAGTTTGTCAGCTTATGCTTATGCGCTAGTGGAAACCAGCCTTTAGGCTACTCGGCCAATCTCAAACCATAGTAAAACCAAAACCAATACCAAAGTAATTGCCTGATTACTTTTGACACCCAATTGAAGACCAATCTAACTGTCTGTGAATGTGTTTTTAGCAGGGCCTGTATTGTCTGTTCACAGGCATTTGGTCCATGAACATTTAAGTTAATTTATTTGGCTAACCTTGTTAGGTAAAGAACTGGGTCAAAGAGCTAAAGAAAATGTTAGGAGAAGATATTGCACTTTGTATAGCAGGTACGTAATAGATTTTTTCTGTTTTGTTGAATGATAAACATGGACTCTAAAATTAATTTTGTATGCCACAATTTTAGGTATTATTTCAAGTAACCCATTTAATTGTAATTATTATAGGTAACAAAATCGACCTTGAGAAAGACAGACATGTTGATGCATCAGAGGCAGATGCGTAAGTTTGTTATAGACTAAGTAGTTAAAGATACATGTATCTTCTTGTGACACTGAACAAACTAAAATTAATATTTAAATTATTATGAATCAAAATTGGCTGACCCAGACACTGTCAACATCTTCGAAAAATAACAAGTGATTGTTGGAAATAAGGGTTGTATCACCTGACTAAAAGTCCGGTGACTTGAATTAAGAATATTGTTGTAAGTTAATATAATATTAGGAATAGAATTTTAGGTTTAGGATCGTAGACATTTTATTGTAATTTATCATACCTGATGAATTTTTACCGCGTAAAAAAATGATTAAAGATTAAAGATATTTTCTGACTGAAGTACGGCATGAATTAATCCACTCCTGCAGCACACACATGAGAATGTTTGTAGCATTATCATATTGAAGATGGCAAATGTACAGATGAGCATACATGTAAAGCCCAAGCCACCTTCAGATTTTTTTCAAACATTTGCCTCTTAAGCCTCCAACTCATGCAAACCAGTAATTTGTTATTTATAAGAGGTGTTCTGTGATTCGCCATTTCAGATATGCCAAGACAGTAGGGGCAAAACACTTCCATACATCAGCAAAACTTAATAAGGGCATTGAAGAAATGTTCTTTGAGCTATCAAAACGTGAGTGTTCCCTTGTAGCTTATTTCATGCAATATGGTCATCATATGTTTAGATGCAGTCATGACATCAGTCAGAATTGTTGATATTAATTTGATTAAAAAGGAAACTTTATAAACTGCTGATTGAAACCAAAAACTTATTAACATGTGTAGTAAACATTTTAGTAGTGATATGTATGTTATTTTAAAATACAGTGATGACTTATTTTGTTGGAATGACTCTTATTTAATTTATGGCCAAGTTCCATCCTCCAACAAAGTTGCATTTAAGGAAATGTTTTCATAACACTGCACTTTTCACCTCTCTGTCTCAGTGATTTGCTTTTGTTAGAAAAATTAAACTCATCAACAAATGATGAGCTTGGGGAATGGTGCTTGAAAGGATGGTGGAGCCCAAGAGCAAACAAAACCGAGCACATAGGGTATCCATGACAACCCTGTGAGCGTCAACCACCAGGCACCATCACACTGAAAAAAAAA